AGTATCCCCAAATAAAATACTATTACTTACATGCTCTGCGAAGTTCTTCATGTCACTGGAACCATGCTTGCAACTGCCTGCTATACTGGTAGTCACCGCTTGCTCGCGACTCCCTTAAGACATACAGCCCTACTTGGAGGCCCATAGGACTTAGTAACCACTTATAACTGGGCCTATAACCCTACTTATAATCCTCCTAAATGGGCTTATAGGGGTTACCCCAATTACAAGTAGGGTTATAATGCCAGTTATAAGTACTTACTAAGTCCCATGGGCCTCCAAGTAAGCGTGCAAGCTATTCTGAAATTCCGCATCTGAGTTTACTGTCAAGGTCGGAGGCAAATTCAGGATGAGGGCCATGGTTTTGGGGACCGTCGTGCATACCTCCCTGGTGCCTAGGAGGGAAGTGGGGAATGGCTCCCTATAGTAGTCCCTATATAATCCCCAATAATAATCCCTGTAATCCATTCCCCGCTTCCTTCCTAAGCACCAGGGAGATACACTCGTGCCCTAAGAACTTTAGAGAAGTAAAGTTGCTAAATCCTAAGCCCTAAGCTGCTATGCATTTCTGAGGCCCTATGGGTGGTGGTTTTTGATCTGTCTAATGAACGGCCACAATACTACTCAGTGCTTAGGGTTGAGGGTTTAAAGGGTCAGATCATGGGATGCGCAAACATTCGGCTAGTTTTTGCTCATCCTCAAATTACCTAGCTTCACGGCTGATTCTTTTAAAAGGTTGTCTATGAGCTCTTTTCAGTTGGGCGGTGTCTTTTTGCCCGTCAAGTCCAAACGCGGCAATGGCATTCTTTTTAGAACTCTTGCGCTGGACACCTATATGGTAGTTTCCATAAATAATGGGACCCCAATATAGACCCCAATATGGCATAATCCTTATTATGGGGACCCTCAAAATGGTACGCCCTAATTTTGGGAAACCGCCATATACCTCTAGCCCCTTCATGTTCAGAAGCCATGCTCAACCCCAAAGTCCTAAGCGACCAGAAGCCATTTGTGACCCCAAACCCCTAAACAACCATAAGCCATGTGTAGCCCCGAGCCCCCCTAACCCTAACCGTAAACCCGAAACCCCAGCCCCTACTCCCTCCAACCTCTTCTTTAGTTCCAAATTGGAGTACTAGGGCTCACGGGGCTTTGATAAGAAAAATAAGAAACACCTGCCAAAATACCTATATAATAGTAGCCTATATACCCATTGCTTTGGAGTTTTGCGGCCAATGCTCTGGAATAATAGCAATGGTACTAACAGAAATCTCACATAACCCTAAGCCCATAACATGTGGTACTTGCCATGCTCTTTTCCATTATGCCTATTCAACTTGAGCCCCTTCGCGGCAAAGAGTAGTCCCCATTGGCCTCCTCACTAAATCCCTCTGACCCTAAACCCCAAACCCTAAAAGAGATTGTATATTGTAGCTTCCAGCATCTTTTCCATTCCTTACTAACCCTATCTATATATATATATATATCCCCTTACCCTACTTACCAGCTCCCCCGACCTTCGAAGAACAACCCCTCCTTGGCCCAGGCCAAAAACGGATTCTCGGCATTTGGGTGCTCACTGCCCTCTGCCATGACGGGCCACGGCCCGGGCGCAAGCTCGCGGCAGTGGGCTTTAGTGAGTTTCTCAGAAGGGAGGTCCCCCTTGACAACCCTAGACATCTATAGGGAGTATGACAGGAGTATAGGGGTCCCCATGTAAGACGACAATTTAGGGTCTGATTTGAGAAGCTTCAAGTAACTTGTGGCAAACCTAAGGTTGAGGGCTTATGGGATCTAGGCGTTCAGGCTTGCATGTTGTTTTTGTGCATCTTACCCATGCAGGCTTTGAAAGTCTTGTAGCCGCCGATTACTTCCAGGCCTCCATGTCCAACCTGGAAACTGATCATAAGTTTAGGGTTTAGAATTTAGGTATTAATTCTTCAGCTCAGCTGTGTCAGTATTCCGTGACCTGTCTATTTCTGAGGGTCAACCTCCCCTCCTTCGGATGGCCCAGTAATACAGAGGCCTACAGGGTTACCAGAGAGTTTGAGGGTACATCATACTGTAACTACATGAGGGACATAGGGGGATACTATTGGTAGTTCATCAGGCCGCTACATACTAAAACTACCCATTGGACATGGGGGGACACTACTTTATTGGCAATCATTCAGGCCCCTAGAGCAGTCCCCTGCGAGCATTCGGAAAAAGTGCCATGGAAGAGGCTGCGTTGAGCCAAAGGCTGTGGCGGCACCAAGGTTGATGTACCTAGACCCTGAAATCCCTACCCCTTTTCTTAGGGCACCGATTTCTGCGCATAACAGATACTAGCAGAAAGGTTGTAGCCTGAAGTAGATAGAATATGGCTTCGGGTATATTCTAAGGAGAGCCCCATCTACCCCATATGCTACTTAAGGGGAACTATAGGTACGAGTTCATACTCATACGTTGCTAACAGCGTAGGCCAGAGAAGAATCCGGGACAGCTTCAAGGTCTCACAGATAAAGACTGGGTTGGCCACTAAAACCTATTGAAAAATATTGGTATATAGGGTCCCCCATTAAAGCCACTAGGGAAAATGTTAAATATTTCAGGGGCCTACCCAGTCTTGAAGCGGCATTAAACTTTTGAGAGAACTTCTTGGGTTGTCTCTGTTGCTCAGGCATAGTGTTGTGGGCTTGAGAACCTCAGTTCCCAGTGATTTGGGCCTAGCATGGCGATGTCAAAGCCGAAGATTTTAGCCAGCGCAGCTGAACGCGTGGGTTTGCAATATGTTGTGGCCTCAGTCTCTTTAAGATCTTGCATTGGCCATACTTCAGCAACCCCTCTGCCCAACCCTTCCTCCTGACAGTGAAAGTTGGCGGTGAAGAACTGGAAGGTTGCCAAAGCATCTAGGTTAAACACAGCCTAAGAACGGGAAAGAGCAAGCAGATTCAACCTCATTTGGAATATGTCACTACATAATGCTTAAGGGTGGCTCCTATTATGCCTTGGGGCCTGCGGGTACCGCGATTTTGGTATGACACCGAGGAACAAGGAAAATGATATGACGTAGCATGTAGCGTAATATGCAAACACATGCAGTCAGCACGATGAGCGGAACAAGACTATGCATGAACAATAGTCTAAACTCTTAGTACCCCCCTTAATAACTCCTGTAGTAGTCCCCTATATAACCTCCTCTAAGAAGTTTAGACTACAGCTCACATGACAACCTGAGGTGTAAATGCTATTAGGCAGGCCTTATCAACCTGCCTCCGACCTGCTCAATCATTGAAAGGGGTTACAATAGTACCTCCCCAAAGGTACCACCCCAGATTCTAAGGAGCTCATAAGGGGGGGGGGGTTACTTTTATGATCCCTTACATTGGTAAGACGGAAGAAGCGAAGAAGAACCACGAAACAGCAGATTTCGTAAGCTAGCGAACGTGAACATTGTAAAGGAAACCCTGTTTGTGGACGGCCGCAAAACCACTTTGTTTGTAGACATTGGTACTGTTGATACTAAAAGTCCTGCATGAAACCATAATCCCCAAGGTTTAGGGTCTAGGGTGATTACCATCTAAGCCCTAAATCCTAAATAGTAGTTTCTATTTTGTTCTCCATTATCCCGATATAACCTCCATATTCTATCTGTTTAAGGGGGACCATAGGGTACTTAGGGTAATGCAGGATGTTAGTATCCACGGTAGTTGCCCTGCTGACGTGGCACTGGGAGACAACCAGATTCAGCTGCGGGTTGGGTGTTGGTCCTCCCTCCGCCTCGCGTATGTTGGGTTGCTGTTATGGAACTTAACTTGGTAGTAAATGATAGGGTCTCCTTACTACAGTGACATAATTTACCTTATTCTAGTAACTTACGTAATTTACCTAATTATAGTAACTTAGTTTAAATTCCTTAAAAGCAATTGAGATTTTCTCGGGGGGTAAGGGTTGACGGGCTTTAGGCAAGGCTTAGGGTCTGAGGCTTAGGGTTTAAGTTTGTAGGCCAATGTAGATGCCCCTAAACTCTAAACCCTTAGCAATGTTGTTTTCCCAAATTCCTTGTATAACTGC